AAAAAAAAAAAAAAAAAAAAAAAAAAAAAAAAAAAAAAAAAAAAAAAAAGGAAATAGCGTTAATATGTTAATCGAAAGTGATTTTTAGATATGTAAAGAATGATATATAATCGAGAAAACCCACCTTTGAATAAAATCTGAACTCAGCTTGAATTTAAATCTATTAATAAGTAAAATCAGCAACTAGAGCCCATGATTCCATATTAAAAGATCTGTGAACTAATTACTCAGACCAAGTCTTTCCACGCCTCGATCGAAGCCTTCCATTATTAGGGTTGGCTAGAGTAGTTTGGTTAGTATTTGTATTAGTATAGCTTGCCCCGATTTACATTTGACCTGAAAGCCATTTTGCCTTTTACAACGTACGTACGTACGTACGTACATATGTAAATAGGAAATCTGGACCCTTATGTAATCGGTTGCATCTATGATTTCACTTTTGGTCAATTTTTCTGTAAAACTCGGAGTTGTATTAATATCTAACTTCAGTTTATTAAAAAACGGATTTAAATTTATCGTTATTTTTTTTTAGACGACAAAAATCAATGTTACTTTAATGATGACAGCAGAAGATAACGATGATAAACAATACAAAAGGATTCTTATTATCGGAGCAGGACCAGGTGGATTATGTCTAGCCCAATCTTTATTAAAACACAATGAGGACAAAGGAAAAAAATTTAAAGTAAAAGTTTTTGAAAGAGATTCATCACCAACAGGTAAAAATTAAATTTTTTTATCAAAGATAATTTATAGATTAATACATATATATAACATTTATTAATTTATAGATAGATGGCAAGGTTATCATATAACATTACAACCGACAGGAGTTCGATCTTTATTGTATTGTGCACCTAAATCTTTACATGCAAAACTTCAACAAATTGCAATACCAGATCAGATTCCAAAATTAGAAGATAACACATTTTCAATGGTGGATCAATATGGTAAATTATTATTCTCACCGCCAAATTTACAAGTCAAAAACATATTCGAGTTCTCCGAAATAAAAGATGAACCCACAGCACCAGTTATTAGTTATAGAGATAGAATTAGGGATGTTTTATTGGAAGGGATTGATGTGACTTGGGGTAAAAAATGTATTGGTTATGAGGAAGTAGAACAAGGTGTTTGGGCTTTATTTGAAGATGGAACGAAAGAATTTGGTGATATTCTGGTCGGATGCGATGGAATTCATTCAAATATTCGTAAACAAAAATTACCAAATTTAAAAATTAATAATTTAGGACTTACCATAGTTATATCAGATATAGCTCCTACTAAAAAACAAATTGATAGATTATTTTCAATAAGCGGAAATAGTTTATGTAAACTATTATTGGGAACGAAAGGGGATTTAATTATGTATCAGATGAGATATTTACCGATTCAATCCAAAACAGATCCGTCAAATAAGGAAGATGATAACACTCATTATAGATTAACTATTTCATATAGTTATAATTCTTTACCAGAAGATGAAGTTGACAAACTTACTTATAGAGATGATGAATCACATGAATCGAAATTTCCCAATGAAGTAGATCCCAAAGATATTATAAACGATGTTAAGGAGAAATTAAGAAAATATCGTCCAAATCATGAGTTAACAGATTTATTAATAGAGCTTTGGTCATTGGTTCCTACAACGAATGATTCAACTATTTATTATCCATTTAATACATATCATAAACCTAGAAGACGACCAGTGAGAGTTATTGATCCATGTTCAATTGAAAAATGGCCTACCACAAGAGTTACTTTGTTGGGTGATTCAATTCATGCGATGAGTCCTTGGCCTGGTTTAGGGACAAACATTGCAATGAAAGATGCCTATAAATTATCAGAGTCTTTATTTAAATGGAGTGATGACGCAGCAGGTAATGATGATTGGAAAAGTTGTATTGAAAGGTACGAAAATGAAATGAGATTATATGGATCTGAAGCTACTTTAATATCTATAAATGAAACTATGAAACTTCATGTTAGATACAATAGTAAATTTAGCGTTTTTATTAGAAATATGACTTATAAAATTATGCATATTATTTCTAAATTAGTTTATCTGTTTAAGAAATTTAAAAAGACATAATAAACATTTTAAACGTTTTAATATGTTTACGTAACATATAAACTAAATTAACGTTTGTCATTCATGGTAGGCACTTTTACTAGTATATTTATAAAGTGAATACTAATTTATTTAAGTTAGTAATAGGGATTATTGTTGAACCTCTCAAAACAAAATCGATAACCTGTCAAATTTGATAAAAAAATTAATCTAATATCGAAATAGCGGGCATGGGCGTTATTTCGAAAATCGCGTCCCCTAAAATAGCATATGTAGATTCAAAATAACGCCCACGCGCGTCCCAAAATAAAGCGCACCCCACTATTACGTATTTTGAAAAAAGCCAGGTTCAAAAATAGGGATGTTAAAAGGTCCCACTTAGCAATTTAACATACAATATAGATAATCTTGAAAACAAAATGCCAAAAGTATTCGTTATTCCCTTTTATTAAATTTTATCTAAAAAATTCGGTCCCAGACTCAGTCCGAACTAACATCCTATTCAGAAAATCAGCCTATACATTCCCATGGGCGTACTCAAAATAACACGCAGATGTATCCGTATTTTTATCAGGTTTGAAAAGATTATAAACTTTTTTAAAGCTCCCAAAACAGATATGCTTTGTAGCATAGAGGTCTTATCCGGTCAAAAAAAATGACAATTCGAATATTGTTACGACAAGGGAGAGCTTCCTTATATCACTGCCAATTTAACTATGGTCGTAAGCATTAAAATTGGGAAGCCAATTATTTATTATTATGAATAAGGCACCAAAATGTACTAAAAAATATAAGCGATACAAGTAAGTATC